CCCCGCGCAGCCTGCTGCTCCTCTGCCTGCTCGTGCTGCGGGGCTGCGCGCAGGACTTCGGGCAGACGCGCTTCATCTGCACCTCGGTGCCGCTGGACGTGGACATGTGCAGCGCGTCCTCCTCGGCCCCCGCGCAGGGCGGCGGCGCCGAGGAGCTGCGGAGCACGGTGCTGCAGCTGCGGGAGAGCGTGCTGCAGCAGAAGGAGACCATCCTCAACCAGAAGGAGACCATCCGCGAGCTGACGGCCAAGCTGGGCCGCTGCGAGAGCCAGAGCCTGCTGGACGCGCTGCCCAACGAGGCCAAGCCGGGCGGGCGCAAGCCGGGCGGCTTCCCCAAGAACACCATGGGCGACCTGTCCCGCGCCCCCGCCGCCGAGACCCTGCACCAGCTCGGCCAGACCCTGCAGGCGCTCAAAGCGCGGCTGGAGAACCTGGAGGTACCTGCCCCGGAGCCCCCCGGGCCCGCCCGCGGGTGGGTAACCGGCCGCCGCGGGTGGGTAACCGGCCGCTTCTCCCCCGTTTGCAGCAGTTCAGCAGACTCAACGCGTCCGGCCAGGGCGGCAGCCTGAAGGACGTGCTGCAGAGCAAGATCGACGACCTGGAGAAGCAGGTGCTGTCCCGCGTCAACAGCCTGGAGGAGGGCAAGTTCAACGGCAAGAACGAGTCGGAGGAGCGGGGCAAGATCGAGAGCACGCTCACCTCGCTGCACCAGCGCATCAGCGACCTGGAGAAAGGTACCGGGCTCCCCCGCCCCGGTTCCCCTCGGGTCCCCTGCCCCCCCACCCCGCGCCCGGCTCCCTCCCGGGCCCCCTCGCGCCCTTCCCTGCCCGGAGCCCGGCAGCCACCGGCCGCCTTGCCGTCCCCGCAGGCCAGAAGGACACGCGGCCCACGGACCGCTTCCAGCTGACCTTCCCGCTGCGCACCAACTACATGTACGCCAAGGTGAAGAAGAGCCTGCCCGAGATGTACGCCTTCACCGTGTGCATGTGGCTCAAGTCCAACGCCTCGCCCGGCGTGGGCACTCCCTTCTCCTACGCCGTGCACGGCCAGGCCAACGAGCTGGTGCTCATCGAGTGGGGCAATAACCCCATGGAGATCCTCATCAACGACAAGGTAGGCGCCCCCTCCCCCCCCCTCCGCGGGCTCCGTGGCAGTCCCTAGTGGCCGGGCCCGGGGCGGGGGTCTCCCGGCGCTGACCCCGGCCGTCGCCCCGCAGGTGGCTAAGCTGCCCTTCACCATCAACGATGGCAAGTGGCACCACATCGGCATCGCGTGGACCACGAGGGACGGCGTGTGGGAGGCCTACCAGGACGGCACGCAGGTGGGCAACGGCGAGAACCTGGCCCCCT